AAACTGACCCATATCAATGTGGAGGATCCACCAAGATAATGGGAGCCCCCAAGGACTGAACTATTGACACTTATCCATGGGAATCTCCAGCAGGTGGAACATGTGAACTGAGCATGGGTCAATGATGGGTTAAGAGTTGGCTGTTGGAAGACACTCAGCAGCTCTCACCTCAGACTAAGGACAAAGAGTCAGAGACAGAGCGAGCCAAGATGGCTTTGACAGCAGCATGGCTCAAGGGCACCCTGATGATGGCCAGACTGAACTCTCTCTTAACCTTTGCCTCTCTCTGCTCACCTAAGGACTTTCAGAATCTCTAGGCCACTAATAAATTGTTACCTTGTTTTGAAAAAGCTGCCTGGTGTCACTTCAAATACTGAGAGTATTGTACCCTGAAGTACATCTCTCTCCCGCATGAGTCTGACTTGGCTGGATTCACTGCAGGGAGCCATGAAGAGAGACTGAGATTACTCATGCCTGAAGGCCTAGTTTCAGAGTCTTGGAAGCCATGGAACTGCTCCTGTGGGTCCTTGGGCCAGAGAACATTAAAGGGGTCTCTCCCAAGGGACTGGTTACAGGCTAGGACATAGATCAGAGCTTGTGCATCTGTGACTTAAGCCATCCAGTTACAAAACAGTATGGCCACATGAGCACTGCATGGCAGCCACCTGGGATCTTAATATATTGAAGAATGGCGACACACATGAGGCAGTACAAGGATGGCAGGCTATGTACAATCCTTACCATACTGCCAGCTCCAGTGTTGCCACAGTCATTTGCACACCCAATGGCAGCTATTGTTGACTGAAAAAAATTGCATGGTTCACACCCACAGTTTTCCTACTTTGACTTTGATGTGCATCTCCTTCAGGAACCTGCTCCAATGAATATTTTGGTACTATTTTGCAAAATAAAAGCTCCTGGTAAAAGTGAATCCAGCTGTGGCACAATTGTTGCAAAATGAAGAGAAACACAGATGACTATAACATCCAGGCAGAAGGAACCCATAGCATTATTATTTGTATTACTGTAGCATCTAGGAGCCCTAGACATGAACTAGGACCCCATTGTGCTAGGCACTGTACAGACAACAGACTGTCCCTGTCCCAAACAGTTTACAATCTAAGGACATTACAAAATTAAGTCAACCTAACTTACATTGGCATACAGCTGTCACAGTAATTACATCACTTGAGCATGTCTTCACTTTGCTCCTTGTATTGGTGGTGCGCATCCTCACCAGAAGCACTTGCACGGATTGAACTGTCATTGTGGGGTATTATGGGATGGCTTCTGAAAGCCAGCAACAGTTGATGTAAGCAATACAATATCTACCCTGACACTGCATTGACCTAACTACTTCAACCTCTCGGGGAGGTGGAGTTATTCAGTGTAGTGGGTGAGTTATGTCACTGGGAGCAAAATTGTAGTGTAGACACTTACAGAGTTAGGTCAACCAAACTGCCTTTGGTTGACCTAACTGTGTAATGTAGTTCAGGGCTAAATATAAGACAAGATATGGATACAAACGAGTACATGGAAATGACACAATATTAGTCAGCATGATAAACTGTGGTCTCATGCTCTAAGAAGGTTTATCAAGTATAATCATTAATAACAAAGATGTCCCTTAGGCTGTTGGGTCCTATATAAAAGAGAGTTGTCACGCAAAAAATACCAAGGTTGTAAAACAGACAAGATGCTAAAGTCTGTAGGTACGACAGCATCAATAGAAAATATTAAGACAAAATGG